GTGGTAGTAGTGGTAGTAGTGGTAGTGGTAGTAGTGGTAGTAGTGGTAGTAGTGGTAGTAGTGGAAGTAGTGGTAGTAGTGGTAGTAGTGGTAGTAGTGGTAGTAGTGGTAGTAGTGGTAGTAGTGGTGGTCGTGGTGGTCGTCGTAGTAGTAGTAGTAGTAGCAGTAGCAGTAGCAGTAGTAGTAGTAGTAGCAGCAGCAGCAGCAGTAGCAGTAGCAGTAGCAGTAGCTGTAGCAAGTAGCAGTAGCACGAGCAGTAGCAGCCCCTAAAGTGCATTACCGCTTTACACTACATCGTTGTCACTGCATTGTTGATGCTAGTATTGTGTCGCCTGGTTTTGCTCCTGTTACCGTTGCTCCTAGTATTGCTATCATTTCGACTAGAAGAGCTTCATTGTGTTTCGCTATTCCTGGTCTTCTCGGCCCGCAGTGTGGCCACTGAAGTTCAGATTTCTTGCGTACCCGGGTCTCGGGACATAGAATGCTGCATTCTAAACGGCCAGTCATATGGTCCATCGCATCTCTCATCGGAGGGGCTTCTTATGGATTCTTATTGTAACTGGAGGTTTGCCCTTATCATAATTAAGGCTCCTACGACTCATTGCCTTTAACTCCCCAGCCACGCAGGTGTCTGAGTTCGACGCTGGCGCGGCATCAAGCGAGCACCTCCGCTCGTGTCGTCTCCGGACAATGCCGAAGCCGTCGACGCCGAGCAGCGTCACGAGTCTGCCGCAACGCTCACCTTCCGCATCTCAACTTCGGCTAAGAGCCAGCTGGTGTCCTCCGAGGCCCTGACATCTCTGCCCCCTGCAGCTACGGTTCCGCCTGGGAGGCCATGTGGTGCGATGAGTCCGGTCAAGAGTTCGATGTTGAGTGCCAGGCTGCACAGGGGGCATCACATGCGCGGCACTGCGGCATGAATCAGTGCTGCTTGGGCTCGGCAACGAAGTGACAAGATCCAAGGTCTTCACAACTTTACGACACAGCTTGCAGTTCAGAGAAGCTTCAGACAGTGTTGAGGGCACGCCTTTGTCTGCACAGTTCAACTCAATTCGACATCCTACTCACTGCTGGATCGGCTCCATGTGGCCATATTCAGCTGAGTGGATAAACCCAGAACCCTATACTCAGTAGCGATAACTGGGTGATACCAATATACTTGAATGATGATCGCCGTCATCATAATCAGATCGGTGAGGTGCCGGGCTATAGTTTACCTGGATGACTTCTACAAAGCTACTGCACTACGCACTCACGGCTCACGCCGCAGTGAAACAGCTTTTCCCTTTGAGGGAAGGTACATTTGCAAACGAACCAGGCGAGGTCGGCGCCTGGACAGGCATCCTTGTTAATGCTACTACTGGTATCATTCTGGCTATTTGCTAATGTCAAGAAGTCAGTGTACACAGGCATGCATATCATATATTAGATGTACACAATATACATATACATTTACATTTACATATACAGCATATACATATACACGTACATGTTTGTATACTCCTACATACATATGTACGGATGCATTTCATGCATGTATGCCTGTATGCATGTCCGTTTGTATGCATGGTCGCATGTATCATGTACGTGCTCTCCTTCAGGACTTGATGGCTTCTAGATTCGCAAAGACTGATGCATGTGCACCCTGATACATGACTCCAGCCCTGCACTACCAACTTTCTGTGTTGAGTCTTTGTGCTGTACATGTTTGTTGCTGTACCACGCAGGTGCTATGCTCCTATGTGCCTGCGTTTTCGCGGTGCTACCAACATCACGATGGCCACCTACCCACTCTGCCTAGCCACCCATTCATCAAACACGCCTACACCCCTGTTAGCATCGACTACAACCTACAACTAGCCTACAACCCCAAACCCCAAACACCGAACCCCAGGGCCCAAGCCCCGAAATCCCAGCCGAAGCCATTTTTTTGCAAGGCAAAGCCAGGGCCTCCGGCCTAGCGGTCGGCCTTCTCCATGAGGAGCTCCACAGCCTTGTTCATGTTGCCATCGCAGTTGTGCAGGGCCTCAGCGGTTTTCGGCAGCCTGGGGTTTAGGGTTTTGGAGGGCTATGGATTTTAAAGGGTTCCGGTGGAGGAGTAAACGATTTCATGGGATTAGCGACTCACTGGCTTCACCTCTCTTTCGTTTCGATTTTCCTTATCGGGTTCTCAAACTCCGGCAGGTCCGGGTCGCCTTTTCTCCATGGGGCCGAGCAAATCTCTAGCCGAAGAGCTTGTTGTAGCGAAGCCCCATGCTACCAGCTCTAGCACGGCCTTACTAAATTGGCATCTCCACTACTATGAAGCTACATGTTTGACTGGAGCAGCATGGCCTACAGCAATATGACATAGTAGAGCAGCATGGGTTTGGCATGTCCTGCAACCCGACAGACCGGAACTGCGCACCCCAGGAGGCATTGTAACAAACCCGGAAACTCTGAATTGAGCCACTCAAGACCGAAACCTCCTCAGACCCTAGAAACGCGAAACCCTAGACCATAAAAACCCCAAAAGCGGCTAACGAAAACAGTGATCATCTGTTAGAATAACAAGGATGATAAGATGTCTCATCAAGGCCCCCTGGAAGCCCTCGCTGAGGGAAGTGCCTGGATGCACGCTTCCTGGTCTGTGAAGCCCATGTTTCGCATCGCCTGCTGATCGCCGGGTTGCTGGCGTTAAAGGCTCAGAACCATGGGGTTTTGGGGATTTTGGCCCCTAAACCCTAAACCCTAAACCACTAGGATAGGGTTTGGGGTTTTGGGGATTTTGGCCAGGGCGAGGTGGCAACTTGTTTAAAGGCTCCCTTGCATGACCCCTGTGAGCATGCCAGGAACCCGGTCGTGCCTGCAGCTGTCCCTTGTATCTGATCTCTGGGCTTTCTTGTTCCGCAGCAATGAACATGTTGAAGCACCTGGGCGGCATTTGGCTGGCTGGGAATACAGCTAGCATCTCAAGAAGTACTTCCGACGAGCTGACAATCCACACCTCAAATTTCTGCTTTGGCCCGCACTCTTTGAAGTTGTGCGCCGGACTTCGATAGTGCAAACCGCTGAGAGCGGCTGGCGAATCCTGCAACGTGCTCGATTGGTTTCTGAAACTGAGGGGTACCTTGTCTTGGGATCTTACCACTTAGGGTCTGCATGACGGGCCCTGTTCTCTGAGACTCCCGTGTACGACAAATCGCATGCCGGAGCGGCATACGCCGGACCATCATCCTTGATGTCTTGTCCCTGTCACACGCATGGCATCTGCAGCTGGGGGATCGGACAGGAGCCCTCAGGACAGCCGCGGCATCTTTCCGATGTGTCCAACGCCTTCTTCCCTCTAGCGTTTGGAGCGCTCGCTTTCGCCCCATCGGTCATCGACCTCCACGAATCATAGCTTGGAGCTACTCGACCATACTTTGCGACGCAAGGAGTAAGTTCCCGGCAGCTTTTCAACTGCATCTTGCAGCTTGACCATTGAGTCAATGGTCTGCGCGTGAAACATCTGCCTCACGGCGTGCTGCGTCGGAATAGGCTCTGCAGCAACTGTGTCGGTAGGGCAGGCACCCAATAAACGAGGGATCCAGGAAAGGATCGTCAGGGTGGACTTTGATGCCCGGCCTCGCTTCACGTGAAGGCTGCACACTCATATGTCGATGTATTCCAGACTGAGCTATTTGCCCCGGCATGGCTTGGACCAGCTGCGCCAAGAGTGACTGCATGTTCTGGTCCTGATGCGACTTGGTCTTTTGACGAAGGCTGCGAAGGCTACCACAAGAGGAATCATTGACAGCTACATCGCGATGCTGCCCTCATAGCCCCGATTGACACTGCCTACAACCTTCACTGTAGCGATGGCTTGCAGCCGGTACTTCACCACTCTGCCTATGGAGCCAGCATCGCCCGGACATGGGTTCTGCTGTTTCCTATCCATGTTAGTTTGGGCTGAGGAACGTCTCGCCTCTTTCGCCTAGTGTGCGGTCCTGCCATGCGGAGGATGCAGCAACTACTCTCCAGAATACGGGCAAAAACAACAGCACAGACCGGCCTTAGTCCGTTAGGCTTGAGGGGAGTGGCAATTCTGGGACTCCGGTATTGCAAGCAAACGCTGCGTTGCTAGGGAGGTGTCAGAGATATACCTGGAGCACACACAAGGCAGAGAAAGGCCAAGTAAGCTGCAGACAAATTTACGGGAAAGGGCGGAGACGAAGGAGCAAACTGGAACGGGGAACACCAGAAAAAACGAAACAAAGAAGCTGTTCCTGCAATGCATCCGAAACCCGAACATAATGGCATGGTGCTTCGAGCTTCCACCATGTCGCTGTGTTGCTATTGGTCGCATGTCAATACATGTGCCCCAGCACCACTGTCATCCAACTGCCGTGGCTGCTGCTGTCGTCCCCGGCACAGGGCAGAGGTGCAGCAATATATTATTGCATCAAACAACAGTCGGCGAAATCCTGCATCATGGACGCCATGGCATTGGTGTCGAAGGTTCCTTCCACAAGAAGCTTTGCGTTTTAGAAGATGCCCGCTTCCGGCACCGGGTCGCGGGCCCACCCAGGTAGGAGCTTCCACACCTTCCTCCTCCTCCTGTCCACAGCAGCTCTGGAAGAGACAAGCATCATGAACAAGCCAGTAGCAGGCTGGAAGTCCTCCTCTGGAGGTGCCTGACACAATGCACTCAACATCTAAAGAAGCTATATAGTGCTGCGGTAGCACGACATCAGGATCCTGTGTGCATACCGTGCCTCTTCCAGGGCCTCCTTCTCTCCATCCTCCGAGGAAGCCAGATAAGCCACTCTGTATTCTCTACTTCTGGGGCGTTGTGGGAAGTAAGCTCTACAAGCTTCAATGCGCCATTGGAAATCCGGGCCAAAGCTTCCTAAACTTCTAGGTTACCCTAAAACCCTAAACCCTAAACGGTTCTACAAAGCTTCCTACCACGGGGCTCTGTAAGGGCGGCTAGCACGCTCTCGGTTGCGGCGCAGCGCGCCTCCTCGGTCCGATCTTCGCCTGATCAGAACGACGCGACACAGCGCTTTTTGAAGGCTTCGGCTTACTAGCTATCTCTATATCTATATCTATATCTATATCTATATCTATATCTATATATATAGATAGATAGATATATATATATACATACATATATCTATCTATCTATCTATCTATCTATCTATCTATCTATATATATATATGTATCTATATGTATATATGTCTATATATATATGTATATATATATATACATATATATATATACATATATATTCGAACATACAGATCGACTTTGCCGACTATTCTAGATTCCAGCGATTCGAGTTTGGGTTATCGACAGTTCAGGCGGTCTGGTTTTGCACTTAGGAATAGTGGAGAAATCTCTGAACTAGATGTCCCGTGTTTCCCCAAACCTAGTTGGCAATTTCGGGAGACTGCAGCCCAGGCTGCGGCTGATGGGAATAGTGTTGGCTACAACCAGCGCTGCACGGAGAAGTCACAGAAGAGTTCAACATCAGCACAACTTGTGATGATGCATGACCCCGCTTAGGAGTCTAGACCATACCCCAGGATTTCAACTCTTCAACTCAACTCCAGCATCCGCGACACCCCAGAACCCAAGCGTTCCTATGGCCATAACCCGAAGGCCTTGGACCAAGATCCATGCAATATCGCAGGCATCCCAAACTCCGGCCCGGAGTCCCGACCCAGCAAGTACTTTAACCTATCAACACTCAGAAGGCCTAGAACTGCACACTCACATGTATAATACCATCAGACACAGAACAACTAAGTTTCCCAAAAACGTGCCCCCCTCCCCCCTAAACAAAGAGCGAACTATGAAGATGGTGATGATGGTGATGATTATTTTTACTATTATTAGTAATAAATACTATTATGGCGAAGATGAAGATGATGATTATTATGATGAAGATGATGACGACGATGATGATGATGATGACAAGGATGTGGATCAACTAGTCCGACGCTCAGAGGACCCCAAGATCTCCGTGCCCGACCTTGCCCCTCCTCGTCCTCCTCATCGGCTTGGCCCTGCCTTGGAGCGTGAAGCGGCTTTTAGTCGAGTTTTGTGAACTGGGCGAAAGGTGATGCAAGCTTGCGCTGCCGGCTGTTGCAGGATTTCCCGTCTCGGGCTTGAAAAAGACCCCCTAAACCCTAAACCCTAGTGAAAGCATCGAGGCTTTGGTGTGGAGAACGGAACGGGCTTGTTGCTTTAACATTCATCGCTTACACTGTCAGCAACACTGAGGCGAGCCTGCCAAACAACAGAATGATCACAGATATTCAGTCGCGAATCGTACACCACCTGTGGTAGCTTCCTTCGCCCTGGGGCGTCGGCAACACAAAATGACAAACCCGGACCCCTGAAGCCGAAACCCGCAACCCTAAACCCGAAGCTTTTAATGTTGTTAAACAGTTAAACCCTAAACCCTAAACCCGACACCATCAACCCTAAACCCTAAACCCGAGATCACCCCTCCAGCGCAAACTCGAAACCTGCAAGCTCCGTCCCCAAACAAATAGCACCAAAGATTAGGACCCTAGCTTCCTAACCTCAAGCCCCACCCCTAATTCCCGAGCCCCGGTGGCCAAAAATGTACCTAAACCCAATGCCCTCGACCGCAAACTCCTCACCACTGCAAACGAAAAACTCCCAAACCTCAAACCCAGAACCCCAAAAGCCTCAAAACCCCGAAGAAGCAGCCCTCAAAGTTCACGACGCCTTCCCCCCCTTTGATCCCATAAACCCCCCCCCCTCCCCCCAGACCCCCCTAAACCAGTACACAGGGGCCCGTCCACACCCTGGCACCCCGTCGACAAAGCCCCGTGGATGCGCCCCATCCGCGTAGTGTGGCGCTGCCCCAATAGGCTTCCGGGGCGGGGTGAGTTTAGAACGCGCTTCTGAACGCGCGATGAGTTTAGAACGCTGAACGCGCACGCGCCCCTGAACGCGAGTTCGGGGGTCACTTAGGTGCAACCCAAACAAAAACCCTAAAACCTCAGAGCCCTAAATCCTCTACCGGAAGTACCCCAAAACACCCCCAAACCTCAAAGCTAAGAAACCCGACACTCCCCAAACCCCCAAACCCCAACACCTTAACATCCCTAACATTAAAGCAACACCCAAACACACCAAAACTACGGTTGAGGATAGGGAGTTCTGGTATATGCCTACTATGGGTAATGCAGGATTTACATCATCAACCGTAGTTTTGCCACCAAAAAAGCCCAGGACAAGCCACATCTTTCTTTGGCTCTTCAACTTCTCGGCCTCAGCTTCGAGATCTCAACTGTTTCTGTGGTTTAGGGTTTAGAATTAGGGTTTACGGGTCGCTACAAAGAAACCCATGAGAAAGGGGGCTGCAGTAACTAGGATAGGGTTTTGGTGTAGATTATAGTTTGATTCTGTGGAGACCATTAGGGGATAGATACTACAAGTAGAATTTCCGGACCTCCGCATTAAACTCAAAGCCCTAATGACCCTTAAAGCCTTAAACATCCCCAAAACCTTTTACCCCGAAGTCCTAAACCTCGAACTCAAGCAAAGATAGCTCTTCAGACTGTAGAGTAGTTGAAGCGGACGGGACTGTTGCTCCAAAGCCTGGAAACGCAGCGTGTTTCCAGTGATCACAGCTGCAACCTCAAAACAGAACCTCAAACCCTGCTCCCTGTGCCCCAAACTCGTCGGACCCGTGCGAGGAGTTTGAAACCCTCAACCCGAGATCCGCCGTACCCAGAGAGCCCAACCACCCCCCCTTCATTAAGGAATAGAGACCCTTAGAATCATAATGATTAAGGCAACTGTAATTTAAGGTATATTCCGGATTTAAGGGGTATTGGGCTCTCTGGGTACGCGTTCAAGCGACACGGGCACTAGAATCTGTAGCAGTTTCAAAGCCGCCGACCTCTCAACCAACCAGGGCTCAGAAAGGACTGGCCAAAGACATCCGAACAGCCATTAAAACGATCATCCCAGGCCATCATCGTAAGCCCACCTGACTATTTCAACCTTCTTCAGCTTCTTCCCGCCCCACTGGGCCCCGAATCCCAGAAGCTCAAGACCTAAACCGCAAACCCAAACCAAAGCCCTGACTTGACACCAACCCTAAATAAACCCTGAGACCCGCAGAGGCTGAAGCTGCAAAGCGCTCGACCCTCAGTCCTAGTTGAACTGCAAACCCTAAACCCTCAACCCTAGACCCTTAACCCTTAACCCTAAAACCCTAAACCCTAAACCCTTAACCGGAAAGCCCTAAACCCTAAACCCCTAAAACCCTCACAATCCTCTCCGACCCGTGGATCTCGGCCTTCTCCGCCTCCTTCTTCTGGGCTTCCGCGGCCGCTAGCAGTCGAACATACTCTTCGTCCTGGTTCAGGGTTTAGGGTTTAGGGGCTTAGGGTTTAGGGGTTTAAGGGATTAGGAGTTTAGGGGTTTAGGGTTTATTGTTTAGGGTTTAGGGGTTTAGGGCTAGGGTTTAGGGTTTAGGGTGGCCAACCCAAGGGCTCACGATTCGGGACGGCCGGGTTAGGGGTTAATGTTTGCAGGCCCAAGGAGGTTCGTCGGCTTTTTTCTAGGGCTTCCGGACTTGCTCCCGACGCGAACTGGAGTTCTGGCCGCCCCCCTTCTGACTTCATTCAAGGCCATGCTTCTCATTGCGATGCGCATTTCTCTTGTCAGCTCGGGATCTCAAGCCGGTGTAAAGCTAGGGACTTGCCAGGGTTTTGAAGTCAAGAGCTTTCTGTGGCTCGAAACCTTCGGAAGCGGGAAGTGATGCTGTTGCATAACCCCTACGTCGATGCCTTCCTTGCACAAACACCGTGGCCGTTAGGTCATCTCAATCCCGATCACAAGGATGCCACACATAGCTCATGTACCTGCGTGTGTGAGTGTGCGTGCGTGCGTGTGTGTGTGTGTGTGTGTGCGTGCGCGTGTGCGTGTGCGTGTGCGTGCGCGTGCGCGAG